CAAATCATCCATCCATCCATCCATCCATCCATCCATCCATCCATCCATCCATCCATCCATCCATCCATCCATCCATCCATCCATCCATCCATCCAGATGAGTGAGCAGCCTCCTCCCTATCGTCCTTTCTTCCCTGAAGGACCTCCTCTTTCTCCAGGTTTGTCACATAAATTTTCTTTCGCTCTGAACTTTAAAACATGATCAACCACTTTATAAACCATTTTATAAATTTAAACATAGAATATTAATTATTTTATAATTTCTCAGCCTCTTTATTTGTTTTGTTGATTATGTGGCTTCTTGCATCTTCTCACAGGTTTCTGCTCACCGCCCACCGCCTATCCCGGCTCCACCTACCAGGTACCCAGAATGTCCTGCAGCAGCTTCCTAACAGATAGACGTCATGCGACTGCTCCAACTGCTAGGAGGATCTTTGGCATCAATTAAAAGTTATTTTTATTAATTATCAGTATATAATAGAAAACATCTGGAGGATTTCAGCAGGTTCAGCTGGTTTTTCATGGTAACTTTGGTCAAGGAGGTCCATCTCTAAGTCACTTTGTTTGTTGCTTAGCAACATGGATGGATTGGTGCATTTTTAACCAGGTGTTTGTGCCGATCTCAGAACTTGGGGCTGATCCAATGTTTCGTTTATGAACCGATCAGCTTGGTGAAGGTTTGCGCTGAGTGTTTTCTAGAATGTAAATATTTGATATTAACATGTAAATGTATCCAGTCTGAGTCCATTAAGCTACAGATTCAGTTTAAGGTCACATAGAAGCTCCAACCTTCTCATCTCCTCCACAGACCTTTCCTCAGAGCTTCCCTGCATCAGATCACACCATCTACCAACCAGGACACGTCGGACCACCGGGGGTCTCAGTGATACCACCTGGTTACTACGGAGATCACCGTGGAAACCAGCATCATCCCTCCCACCCTCCTAAGCCCTCAGGTAGATCTCCAGATCCTTCCAGCAGTTTTTGATCTCTGTCCCAGATGATGACAGGTTGATGATGTCATCAACAGTGATGGTGGTTGACCAGCGACCCGATCAGCCGCAGGGCTCTTTCGGCTCCTACCTAGCGGCCTGCTCTGCTGCTCTGTGCTGCTGCTGCCTGTGGGACCTGCTGCATCGCTAAAATTCTCTTCATGGCCGTCCTCCTCCTCAGCAGCTGGAGACGGACCGGACCACTGGGCGTGTTCTGATGAGACCAGAATTATGTTCCAGCAAATTCTGCCATGTTTGGGTTTCAGATGAAAAACTCTGCTTTCTGATTAGATGATGAACAGATTTGGATGTTGATGAGAGCAGCTGAGCTTGTTCTAACCTCTCAGTTGAAATAAGTCCATTAAAGATCTGACCTCTAGAACTTCCCATCAACTGCTGGTTCCTGGTCGCTTAATGATCTTTTGGTCAAAGATGATCCATAAATAAAGTCTGACTGATGGTTAAATGCATCATTTCTCTATGAAGTTCTATTTTCATTATATTTTTATTTACATTCATCCAGAATAAGCTTATGTGAGCAGCTTGGGTCTGGTTCTTTGATTCCTGGACCAGAACCCACACAGATCCACACATTAAACAGGTTTATAATCTGCTTTTATGAACTTCTCAGAAATGTTCTAAAATGAAAACTAATGTAGTGGATCTGAATAATTCAGAGTTCTTCTCATAAATGAGTCTTTTAGTTCAGCCAGGATCAGAAATAAATCACAGAAACAGATTC